TCATTTTGCAATTGCTATCGAATCCATCGATAGCATCACTGGGATAACTATTAGATCTAGATGCAATAAATACGAAGATATTGTGTCAGATAATTAAACTAAAGTGGCTGTAATCTGTTGGTTGTGCCTATCATGATTGGGAGAGGAGGTCTAGTGCCAGATGTTTGAATGAAGTGGGAAAGCTGTATGGTGTAAAGGCAAAGAAATTGCCTGGATACTATACACAAGTTTATTGCCTGTCAACCGAGTTAACTTTTTGTCTGATTACGTGGTTTAGTTCCCATTACTTTCTGATGACTAAATCAAAGACTTTCATTGCATATTACATATTTGGCACTAATCTAAATGAAAGATTTTCCACAAATAGAAGATAGTAGACTTTGACTATCACCGGTTATTTTCTTTTGTAGGGTAGGCTGTAGACTAAGTGTCAACACTGTTTTGTGGGGTCTCTTTCTTCGTGGTTCTTATATCTTGCATCGACTGGGCTGGGGGATCTGGGCAAGTTTGTTTTTTTTGTGTTAATTTAGTCAGCATTTACTTGGTAATTTGCTCATTGTTTTCTGATGTTTCAATCAAAGACTTGCAGGTCAAATTTGAGCAGTTTGTATAAGCACCCACTTTGCTTAATTCCTTTTAGGGTAGACGCAGTGGACTTGAGGAGTTAGTTAATCCTTAGTTATATTACTTACTGGTAGAAATGAAACGTAACAAATCTATACCATAGTTGATCATGATTTAAAGATTTTTTCTTCAAAATTTGTAAGTTCTTGTTCTAACTACCATTCTTTTTTCTTCTTCTTTTTTCGAGGGTCAAATTCTAACTACCATTCTTAGGCGTAGTTATGAATTTGTAAGGGAGTCGGTCTTATGCGTGTTTGGATTCTTACGGGGGTCTCGAATCTGGAAATTTTTTTGTGTCAAGTGACTCTCAGCTCTCTCTATCCATGAAGACCACAAATCATCCACATCCACATGACCAACATCCCCTGGAGAGTAGTTGACGGGGGTGGTAGACTGACTATACAGAATTTGTGTAGAGATTAACTAGAGATGTGAAAGAAAATTAAACATAACAAATAAAAATCTCCAACAATTGGGTTTCGATATGGTAATTACCTTTGCTTTGCATGTAATTTGGCAAGTGTTAAAGACAATTGAAGTTTAGGGATGCCAATTATTTTCCTAATAACAAATTTTGTTTTCTGTAATTTTTCTTTATTTTCCAAGGTTTTTCATTTTCTTTGAATTGAAAAGTATAAAATGATGTTGATATAAACACCCTTCTTATTTCGTTTGATTTGAACCTTATTTTCTTAATTAAAACTGGGCTTGGGATCTTGGAGTGGAGGGTGGATCTTCTTCTCCTTCGGTTTTTATAAGGCAGCCATCGTGATAAGATCGAGACTTGAGTTAGTTACTTGACAGCGGAACGGCTGTCTCGTTTGATATTTTTCATGATTTTAGCAAAATGGCACATAAGGCTTCCATAATGCAGCCAAGAAAAAAGATTTAGAAGGAGAAAAAAAAAAAACAGCAGGAATGGATTAAAAAATGTTTCAAATAACGTGAGTCACTGCACGTAATTTCTTAATTTGCATTCAATATTATTGGTTTCAAATACTACTACATTTTTTGGGTAATTCAAAAATGTTGCCCATTATCTCCCATTTGGATCATTGATCTCAGAAAAGATCGTCTCAGATATACATTGAATGGATTCATTTGTAGCGCAACCTGGCTCAACACTTCTAATTTCTGCAGCACTGTCATTTTTGAAGGCAACCTCATTGCTCCTTTCAACGCAGTTGCGATGGAGCTGAAATGCAAGTTCAAGTCCCTTCACAACGTCATTCATTGACGGTCGTTCGATTCCACTCTCATTCATGCAACTCATAGCGATCTCAACGAACTTATTCAGACACTGGATTTCAATCTCACCCCTAATTCTTGGATCAATAATTTGATCAAGTTCCCCGTCGCGATGACAGCTCTTGGCCCACTCAGCCAAATTTATTTGCCTCAGCTCCACATTATGCATCACAGCCGGCCTTGCACACAGTACCTCACACAACACTACACCAAATGAATACACGTCTGACTTCTCAGTTACCCGTTGACGTTTGTAGTATTCGGGGTCTAAATACCCGAAGCTGCCTTTCACCATCGTACTAAAGTGGGTCTTGGACGTGTTGATTGTGCTCATTTTTGACAATCCAAAGTCCGAAATTTTGGCCACCCATTTCTCATTCAATAAAATGTTTGTGCTCTTCACGTCACGGTGGATGATGGTGCCCTTGGTGCCGCTGTGAAGGTAACACAACCCTATTGCAGCGCCGATACAAATTTGGAGACGCTGATCCCAAGAAAGAGGGGGGTTGTCAGTGTGGTAGAGATGGCTGGCAAGGGTCCCACGTGACATGTAATCGTACACCAAGACCATCTCATTGCCGTCCTTACAATATCCGATGAGAGACACCAAATGGCGGTGGCGGAACTGAGAGAGCAGCTCAATTTCAGTCTTGAACTCGTGGGCGCCTTGTGATGACTCAGATTTTAGCCGTTTGATTGCAACGAGAGTGGCCCCATCATCAATGCATCCTTTGTACACGTTACCAAACCCTCCAACTCCAATAATAAAACTGTCATCGAAGTTTCGAGTGGCGGCTTTGATCTCAGCCAGTGTAAAGTAACGACACAAATAAGACAGTCCATATGTTCTGTGTGTCACTGGAAAAGAAAATGGACCCCACTTCATTCCCTGGTTGGAGCTCGAGTCCTTGTTTTTTCTTCCTCGCCTGAACACCAAGAAAAACCCGAGAACAGAGCCTAAAACAAGCACCCCGGAAACTAGACCAGCAATGATAGCAATTAGAGAAGTTGAACTCTTATTCGAAAATTTACGGCTTTGCAGTGGAGCTATCACTCGTGGGGTTATTAGAAGAGGTGGGTCGGGATTGGGTCCGGCAAGATTCCGATTTGTGTCACTGAGTTTGAAGATCTCGAGCCCATTCAAGATTGCATCGTTGAAATTGGTCATATAATCTTTTGGGTTTGCTTGCAGTGCGAGAAAGAGACTAACTTTCTTCTGGCTTGCAGGGCCTGCAGGCATGAACACAACGTAGTCCTTGTAAATTGGTCTTCCATTTCCACCACTCCACGCGATTATGTCCGCAAATTGTTCAGCTGTTTGATTGGCGATGAAGATCTGAAACTGTCGGTCTCTGGCCTTGGTAATATCAGGTTGAAACTCACAAAAATGAAGCCTAACCAGGTACAAAAACTTGGGATCGACAGGGAACTCCCAGGTGAGATTATAGCTCTTGTTTATGGTCTTGTTCTTGCCCATTGACCGGCCAGTATGGTAAAGTTCTTCTGGAGCAGAGTACTCTGCTGTTTTAGTAAAGCTGAGTTCGATACTACTGTTTTCTGGTAAAACACTAAACTTAGAGCTTAAATCGTCTAAGTACTTGTTCTCTTTTTGCCTGCCATCCCAGTTTCGGTACATACCAGTGTCCTGAATGAAAACCAGTGATCTTCCACCGACGTTGAATCGGTACACCATCTCCAGCGCAATGCTGTTTTCGATCCAAAATGTGTTTTCGCTGCCTATATAATTAACTCCATCTGAATTTTGAGCAGAGGTGTAGTAAAGATTGTTGGGCATGGACACAATTTCAATTCCGTTGATAAACGCATACGCATCTGAAGTTGCTCCGCTTGGCTTGAAGGTGATGTTCAAGCTCTGTTCTGACTCAACGTTGAGGCAGAATTCTCTGTATATTGTATCAGACCTAGAAGCATCGGCAGTGACTGAAGCGTTGAAGTCTTTGAGAAGGGTGAAGCCACCGGCTTTGACTGAGAAGAGGGCTTTGGATCGGTCGAAGTCAGGGCCATATGAAGCTGCGTTGAAATACAAACGGATGAACTTTTGGCCGGTGGTGACGGGAAATCTGTATGTAAATTCAGAGCGAGAAAGCCTCGCGGTGCTGTAAGGTACAGAGGAGGAAGAAGGTGCTTGTCTGGATATGGAGGGGCTGCCAGCTGCTTGGTTTTCAAAGGGGTAAAACTTTGAGTTGATATCTCCAGTCCAAGTTCTGGTGTCGGCTGGATTGAGTTGTTCGCCGGAAAAACCACATTGAAGGGTGATATCGTCCACCGGAGTGTAGATAGGAGAAGTGTCACCGGCCACGTGCATGGCGATGATGTGCAGAAACAGGGGAAGGAACAGAGGAGTGAGAAAGGGTTTCATGGTTATTGATTTATGAAGGTGTTTGCTGCTTGGATTCTTCATGATTGTAAGAGAAACAAAGGAAGCTGCTGTTTATTATTGTAAGCATAACAGAGCTTGCCTGTTTAATTAATTTCTAATTGGAAATGGAAATCCTAATGACGCTGTGTTCTATACTAATTAGCCACAAGGAGAATAAGCTTTGCAAAACTGGGCTTTAGATCTTGGGGTTGGAGAGTGGATGTTTGAAAGATAAGAGGTTTTTTTTTTTTTTTCTTTCTTTCTACTGAGGAAAGTTCAAAGCTTTGGTGAGTTGCTTGGGTGCATGGTATGTAAGGCCTTGGTTGTCATGTCAATTCTGTAGGCGGAGATTTCATTTTATCAACGAGATACATACACTTTTTGGGAAAGAAAAAAAAAAGTGAGTGAAGAAATTGCTTGGAAATGCTAAAGAAGTTTGTCATCTTCTGCTATTTTACAAAGTTTTTTCCTTTTCTCTAAATTGGAAAATTATTTATGAAAACGCCCTTGTAATTTCTTTTGAATTGTTGATGTGTTTATTAATTAAGAATTAAAATTCTCATTAAAAATTGAATTTCAGTTATTGAAGATTCTTGCGTTTACTTCACATCAATGAATTAAAAAGTAAATGAGACTCACTGATTTTGGAGGAATTCTCATGTTTTTAAGCACTTGTCCTGTGTAACATGAGACTGATTCAACCATGCAACAGGGCCCAAAATTTCTGATGATTAAATCAGGTTTGTCTTCAACTTTGAGTTGTGATATTATTGAATTTCTTGAGCAGAAGTGGAGGCATGGATCCAAGACTTGCATGCCAAACTTTTGTCTGCATACGTTTTTTAAATTTACGGCTTTGCGGTGGAGCTATCACTCGTGGGGTTATTAGAAGAGGTGGGTCGGGATTGGGTCCGGCAAGATTCCGATTTGTGTCACTGAGTTTGAAGATCTCGAGCCCATTCAAGATTGCATCGTTGAAATTGGTCATATTATCTTTTGGGTTTGCTTGCAGTGCGAGAAAGAGACTAACTTTCTTCTGGCTTGCAGGGCCTGCAGGCATGAACACAACGTAGTCCTTGTAAATTGGTCTTCCCTTTCCACGACTCCGCGCGATTATGTCCCAGGCTTTTTCAGCTGTTTGATTGGCGATGAAGATCAGAAACCGTCGGTCACCGTACTTGGTAACATCAGGTACAAACTCACAAAAATGAAGCCTAAGCAGGTACAAAAACTTGGGAACGACAGGGAACTCCCAGGTGAGATTATAGCTCTTGTTTATGGTCTTGTTCATGCCCATTGACCGGCCAGTTCGGTAAAGTTCTTCTGGAGCAGAGTACTTTGCTATTTCAGTAAAGTTGAGTTCAATGCTACTGTTTTGCGGTAAAACACTAAACTTTAAACTTAAATCGTCTAAGTACTTGTGCTCTTCTTGCTCGCCATCCCAGTTTCGGTACATACCAGTGTCCTGATTGAAAACTAGTGGTCTTCCACCGACGTTGAATCGGTACACCATCTCCAGCGCAGTGCCGTTTTCGATCCGAAATGTGTTTTCGCTGCCTATATAATTAACTCCATCTGAATTTTGAGCAGAGGTGTAGTAAAGATTGTTGGGCATGGACACAATTTCAATTCCATTGATAAACGCATACGCATCTGCAGTTGCTCTGCTTGGCATGAAAGTGATGTTCAAGCTCTGTTCTGACTCAACGTTGAGACAGAATTCTCTGTATATTATATCGGACTCAGAAGCATCGGCAGTGACTGAAGAGTTGAAGTCTTTGAGAAGCGTGAAGCCACCGGCTTTGACTGAGAAGAGGGCTTTGGATCGGTCGAAGTCAGGGCCATATGAAGCTGGGTTGAAATACAAGCGGATGAACTTTTGGCCGGTGGCGACTAGAAATCTGTATGTAAATTCAGAGCGAGAAAGCCTCGCGGTGCTGTAAGGTACAGAGGAGGAAGAAGGTGCTTGTCTGGATATGGAGGGGCTGCCAGCTGCTTGGTTTTCAAAGGGGGAAAACTTTGAGTTGATATCTCCAGTCCAAGTTCTGGTGTCGTCTGGATTGAGTTGGTCGCCGGAAAAGCCACATTGAAGGGTGATATCCTCCACCGGAGTGTAGATAGGAGAAGTATCACCGGCCACGTGCACGGTGATGATGTGCAGAAACAGGGAAAGGAACAGAGGAGTGAGAAAAGGTTTCATGGTTATTGATTTATGAAGGTGTTTACTGCTTGGATTCTTCATGATTGTTTGTAAGGGAAACAAAGGAAGCTGCTGTTTATTATTGTAAGCATAACAGAACTTGCCTGTTTAATTAATTTCTAATTGGAAATGGAAATCCTAATGACGCTGTGTTCTATACTAATTAGCCACAAGGAGAATAAGCTTTGCAAAACTGGGTTTTAGATCTTGGGGTTGGAGAGTGGATGTTTGAAAGATAAGAGGGTTTTTTTTTTTTTTTTTTTTTTTCTTCTACTGAGGAAAGTTCAAAGCTTTGGTGAGTGAAGAAATTGCTTGGAAATGCAAAAGAAGTTTGTCATCTTCTGCTATTTTACAAAGTTTTTTCTTTTTCTCTGAATTAGAAAACTATTTCTGAAAACATCCTTGTGATTTTTTTTGAATTGATGGTGTTTATTAATTAGGTTTAGGCATTAAAATTCTTATCAGGAATTTAATTTTACATATTTGAGAATTCTTGCGTTTATTTTATATTAAAAATTAAAAAATAAATAGTACTCATACAAAATTAAAAATTAAATTCCTGATTTTAGAGGAATTCCCGTGTTTTTAAGCACCAGTCCTGTGTAACATGCAGTGGTGGATCTGTGTAGGCGCAAGGAGGTGCGCCTGCACCTCCGGTCGCCGGAAATAGCCATTACAAACGCTGGAGTTGCACCTCTGCTTCAGACCAGCGATGCACACAATGTGCTCGATGAAATGCGCAAACAACTGGGCTGGGGAGCTGCTGCCTGCTGGTGCTGCGCGCAGTGCGCGCGCGAGGGCTCCTGTTTTTTTTTTTTTAACGAAGCCTAGCCAAAACGACTTCGTTTTGGACCAAGCTGTTTAATATGCGCTGCCTTTTTTTTTTTTTTTTTTTTGAAAAACCTGGCCAAAACGGCGTCGTTTTGGACCAAGGTTTTGAAATTATAATTTTTTTCAGCTATGAATATTGTGAAAACCCCATTGCGTAACAAAATAGGGAATCAATGGTTGAGTGATGGCTTGGTTGTTTACATTGAGAAAGATGTTTTTTCTTGTATTAGTAATACAAATATAATGCGACGTTTTCAAGATATGAAATATCGTCGGCAACAATTATAGGGTAATTGTAATGATATTTTTTTTAATGTATTATGAATAACATTAGTATTGTTTAAATTATAAGGATGTTTAGATTTTGTTTTTTTTTTTTTGGGGGAGCTCTTAGCTTTTGAAAATTGCACCTCTGCTGAAAAATTCCTGGATCCGCCGCTGGTAACATGAGACTGATTCAACCATGCAACAAGGCCCAAAATTTCTGATGATTCAATCAGCTTTGTCTTCAACTTTTGTCTGCACACGTTTTCTAAATTAAAGATTCTCGATCAAAAACAGTAGCAGCTGCCAGCAGGGCAGTGGACTTGACGAATTCAGTCGTTTGCAGAAGTCTCCATGCATACTTCTTCACTTTCCAAACAACAAGTAGTGGAGATTGTGTAGTTAATTATATATTCCTTCTTCAGTAGAAAAGTCTCATTCACCACTAGCAAACAACCCGTTAAATGGTCTCCAGCTATGAGTTGGTAAACGTAGTTTTAATCAAAATCCACAATTGTGTTTTTTATTTATAAAAATACGAATTAAAAGCGGGTTACCTGGTTCATGAATGGCAAGTGTAATAAAATTTTGTAAAGTTAAAGGGTCTGTTGTATTTCCCTTCACCATATCAAGACATTCATGTGTTGAAGAATACACAATTCCACATCGGAAACTTAACAAAATAGAAAGTTTTATATAATAAATGGTTTCACTCCTAATAACATCGATATCTTTTACATAAAACCTCACACCTGCTAAACAAGTAACTAAAATAGGGACAATATCAATCTTGCTAGTAGTCGACCAAGAGTCCGTCCCTTTGAAATCTTAACATCATGAACAATACCAAATTTTATTTTTTATTATATTATTCATGCACGATAACTTTTTTTTTTTTTTTTTTCAATTAATAATGGGATGTACAATACATGCATGCATGTACTCTCCTAAGACAGTAGTATCAATAATTAAACGACAGGAGCAGGGAAATATTCTTTTTTTGAGTGTTGAATTTTCAGGAAGTGAGGCTGGGGTCCACCTGCTGACCTTAATTAGGATCAGTTTTCAACGGTGTGATCATGGAGACGGGAGCCTGTTTGATGGTTCGGGTAAGGTTCTGGCCCATGCTTTTGGGCCCACAAATGGAAGGCTACACGTGGATGCCTAATCAACAGAGTACGGTTAAAAATGGCATTAGAGCATTTCCAGCAAAGAGCTCAAGGGGAGGGTTGGGGAGGGGGGGCAAAGCCAAAATGGGGTTTCCAGCAAGTACTTAGCTACTTTTTCTGGTGAAGATGCATATATATTGAGTGAAGCCAAGGAGGAAGCTGTGCGCACAATTGTGGAATTTGTGAAGGCCCCTGACTTGTTTCAGGTATTGTAGGGTCTTGTGGAATTTCAAAGATTATGCATGCTAATTTAGTGGTCTACATTTCTCTTGATGCATGCTCATCCTTGTTTACTTGTGTTACATCCTTTACAAATATATGTTTCTTTCCTTTTAAAAAATCTCTTCTTATGAGGTAGATCCAGTTAATTGTGCAGAGACAATTTAGTAGTTTGAATTGGCTCGTATAAAGTAATTATTGATATTAAGGTTTTTCTTGCATTTTGAAGAAGCTCCTTCTAACATTCATTTGGATTCAATAAGTTTCCTCTGAAGTTACTTATGAAATTTGTTATGCTTTTGGACTTTAGTCTGTATTGACCAGTTGGAGTGCTGATCATAACTCCCGAACAGCTGGGTTTTCGGCATTTGTCACTGATGACCAAAATACCCCCCAACAATAGTTGTTTAGGTGCTGATATGTTGGTGTTATTGCTCTGCAGTGTGATTTGCTAGATATGCCTGCTGTAGGGCAATTGGAGAAGGATGCTAAGCATGCGTTGGCATATCAGCTTTTAAAGATCTTTCTGACTCAGAGGCTGGATGCTTACTTGGAGTTTCAGGCTGCAAATTCTACTTTACTGAAAGGCTACGGTAAAATATTAGTTTCTTCTGACCAAGTCTTCTTCAGCATTATAATAGATTTTTTATTGCCGTCTAAATTATGCTTTATTAAATGTTATAGGACTTGTCCATGAAGACTGCATAACAAAGATGAGGTTGATTTCTTTGGTGGATCTTGGCTCTGATGAATCTGGACGAATTCCTTACAATCTTATCAGAGATACACTTCAGGTTAGATTGGTTTACCTTTCTGGTTCTAAAGGTTTTCCTTTCACGTCTTGCTTAAGTATGTGCTTATGAACTTGTTTTTGGCAGATTAATGATGAGGGCGTCGAACTTTGGGTGGTCAAAGCGATAACTGCTAAGTTAATGGACTGTAAAATGGACCAGATGAATCAAGTGGTGATTGTGAGGTAAGTTTGTGTTTCATACCTTGTGCGCACACACAAACAAACATATATTTTTTTATTCGTTCTTTCATGCTTCTTTGTTCTTGAACTGATTTAGCCCTTGATCTGCAGCCGCTGTACTAAGAGAGTATTTGGGCAGCAACAATGGCTTACACTTAGATCAAAGTTAGCAACTTGGAGGGTAAGTAACTGCCTACATCTATTGCTTCATGCTTTATTTTTCGTTCTTGTTTAATAATTGCCAAAGAAACGAGAATTGATTCATTGTACTGTATGAAGACCCGCTCTTTTTGTTGCGCTGTCCATAAATCTCATAATTGAATTTGTATATTGACAAAGTTATCATTGGCAGGGTAATGTTGCAAATGTCATCAGCACAATTCGAGCTAACAGGATAGCTGAAGATGGCTCGCAGGCAGTGCAAGGCTTAGTTATTCGTTAGAAAATTCTTGGTTATGTAGGTTCATGGCTGACTTATGAAAGCTTGAAGTAGTATTTATGATTCCCAATTATTTTCCCTTTGGACTTTGGATCCAAATGTTTTGGAAATTTTGACAGGAAAAAGATCTCTTGTTATTTACAAATCTTATGATTATACGCTCGGTAAATGATGAATGACTGCTTATATATCATCAGCAACTTCTGTTGCGTTTGACAGGAAAACTCTCTTGTTCTGAAATTCGAATATGTTGATGATGAATGATATATTTCTGAGAGCAATTGTAGCCTAACAGGTGATCTTTCTCGACCCCGATAGGATTCATTTTTCAATTGTTAGGAGTGGACAGGAAAACTCGTTTTTAGTTTCTTTCCACAAGATTTGGATCTATGACCTTACTATCCATCCGAATCCATCGTTAGCATCACTGGGGTATTATCCCATCGAATAACTATTAGATCTAGATGCAATAAATACGATGATATTGTGTCAAATAATTAAACAAAAGTGGCTGTAATCTGTTGGTTGTGCCTATCATGATTGGGAGAGGTCTAGTGCCAAATGTTTGAATGAAGTGGGAAATCTGCTTAGTGTAAATGCAAAGAAATTGCCTGGATGCTATACACAAGTTTAGTGCTTTCGGTCAACCCAGTTAACTTTTTGTCTGATTACGTGGTTTAGTTCCCATTATTTTCTGATGACTAAATCAAAGACTTTCATTGCATGTTAAATATTTGGCACTAATCCAAATGAAAGGTTTTCCACAAATAGAAGATAGCAGACTTTGACTATCACTAGTTATTTTCTTTTGTAGGGTAGGCTGTAGACTAAGTGTCAACACTGTTTTGTGGGGTCTCTTTCTTTGTGGTTCTTGTATCTTGCATCGACTGGGCTGAGGGATCTGGGCAAGTTTGTTGTTTTGTGTTAATTTAGTCCGCATTTACTTGGTAATTTGCTCATTGTTTTCTGATGTTTGAATCAAAGACTTGCATGTCAAATTTGAGCATTTTGTCTACGCACCCACTTTGCTTAATTTTGTTGGGGTTGGGGGTTGGGTGTCAAATTCTAACTACCATTCTTAGGCATAGTTATGAACTAGCAAAGGTGCCCGCGCGATGCTGCGGATTTTAAAACCGTCTGAAATGCGTACAAAGTTATGAAAATATGTAGCAAGTTTAAATTGCAAAATAAAGACTAATAGCATGTTTTATATGTCGCTTGCCATGTTAAAATATTGATCATATTTTAATAAAACCAAGCAGCAATCAAAATATCAGCAGTTTTGAGCTGCTCCTTGTTGAAAAGAGTTTGGACATGTCTTTACATATATGTGATAATTTATTTTACTACTTTGGGCATAATATTCAGGGAGGATATGTGAACAAAAAGGGTCTAACAAAAACAGGAAAAATAAATAAAATAAAAACCATATTCAACCTCTTCTAGTCTTGCAATGCACACAGTCATCGGCTTCACCCAAGCATCTCTGAGTGACAATTCAAATCTACCATGAACCAATCCATGAGCTCAAACATAGAGCCCAATGAGATAATAAACCATCACACAATAGGCTTAATTTTGGTCGAAAAGAGCAATTCAAGGATATGGTTCTCACCTGAAATGGTTTGGTGAGGTTGCAAAATCACCTTTATCCTCATGCTCAAACCCTTCAACAACAAAAAAATAATGACAGGAAATTTTCATTGTAATTCCAAGCACATGCAAGAAAGAACAAAGACACCAAATTTTCAATCCAACATAATTATAGAACAAAGACTCAAACTTTCGCCCTTATGTCCTTGAGATTCCACAGAAACCCATGTGATTTCAACAAAAAGTAGTCATGTTATTAAGCGGGTGACCTCAAACGCTCTTTAAGCATAATTAGTGAACTCCTACCCACCGTTGGTTTTGATATATGCAGGAATCGTGATATAAGAGTTTACCATGAAAAGGAAAATATGAAGACAGTATGAAATGAAAGAAACCCAAAAAAAACGATGAAATATCAAACTTTCATTCAAATCAAGAAACACAAATAAAACATTTTGGGCAAAAATTTAACTACTTTGAACATAAAATTCAGGGAGAATAAGTGAACAAAAAGTTTCGAACGAAAACAGGAAAAAGAAAGGGGAAAAAATACCATTTTCAACCTTCTCCTACTCACAGCCTCTTCTTGACTCTCTCGTACACAGTTAACATCTGCCAAAACTCAAAATCCATACAAAAAATATATAGGATAAGCATCTTTCAAAATAGAAACATAACAAAGTGGATGAAACAAAATAATTAAGGGATATAATTAACTGCAATCATTAAGTTTTACTAAAGGTTTGGCAAAATCTGGAAATCAGGAGATTGCAGTCGACAAAAGTCTCTCTTCCAAAAGCATAAGCAAATATCATTTAGCCTTCAAAAAGGATAGAAGCAGTTTCATAATATTAGAAAAATCAAAAAGAGAATTTAACAATTTGTCGATTGTTACAATGGTTTTCATGGTCACAGGCTGCATGTAGAATTGGGACAAAAAAAAACTTTTGAGAAATTAGACAGAACCTTTAAGAATTGGCAAGACAACTTGTCATACTTTATACCAATTACGAAATTTATACTAAAAGTGCAATTACTACTAAGTAATTATAAAGGCAAAAGTAATAGAAATGTTCTTTCAATACATGGTGTACAACCCTCACAGATGCAAAAACCATAAGAAGTCTATAATCTCAAGCTAATGTCAATCTATTTATCCCTACAATTAAGGCTGAAGCAGAAATCATCCTTAATAGATAGCACATATAGACTCAACAGAAAATAAAATCTCATATGCCAACAACCATATGAGAGTTTAGGTCATGAGATATAAATCAAATTCAATTCTTATTTTAGGTCATGAAAATGAAAGCATGCGTACATTATTTTGGAGCAAAACTGTCTTCAATAGTTTTATTTTTTTTATAAGAGAAACGATATATTGAAAAGGTGGATAAGGCATCCACAGCCAAACAAACAAAACACAGAAACAGCCCTAAAAAGGCCAAAAGAAAGAAAAAGAAAAGAAGGGAAATGAGGCAATGTGATGGAGGGACACATCCTCAGTTCACAGCCATCACCAAATCGAACATAATGATAGAAGGGAATAATCCTTAAAAACTGAAGTAACTGAAGCCCAGAATCTAGCCATAAATAAACAACAACAAAAATCCTTCAAACAATCTAAATCTAGAGCAAAATCATCAACCAGTCCAATCAAAAGCATCAATCAAAGGCTGAGATAATCCTACAATACCTTAGTTCTCGATGCCAATTTCGCACTTAGGGTTGAAAGCAAGTTGGGCTCCCTTGCAAAATTCAACAACAATCTTCAAGACACTTCAATTGTTAAATCAACATTTTCAATCCTAATTGTATATATCCTGGCCTACAAAAGATATTTTCAACATTTTCGTTCCAATTTAAGGCAGAGATGTAATCGACTTATTGAGGGAAAAAAAAAAGGAGGATGAGAGAACGATTGACAAACCTCTTTGCTAGACCAAAAGCGGAACCCTACGTTTTTTTTTTGTAGCACCTTCAAAGTCAGTCAACATTCCGTGTTGTTCTACAAAAGATATTACAAACATAGAATGTCATAGAACACCTTTATTGTAAATTTCTTCAACAAAAAAATCCAGAACCAAAATATTTGATGAAATTCTATTAAAGAAAAAAAAAACTGAAATTAAAGAGAGGGAGATAGAACAATGCATACCGTAACTTCTGCATATATATATATATATATATATGCTGGCTCTGTCCCACAATAGCAGTAAGGACAATGGCAAGCCTTTGTTCAGCACAAAGAGTCACCTCCCATTACCAATTCAAAAGCATGTTCAATCCTATCACAGGGGAGAAATACAATCAAAATTAATAAAAGGGAAAGAAATTGAAATATAGTGGAGGCGATGAAAAAATGCAAACCTTGTTTCTATTTCAAGGTCCACAAATAGATGTAATTGCTGTTAGGATTTTTGCTCGTCAAATATGTCCTAGTTGGTTTAGGATTGTTTTAGAAAAATTAGAGGTATACCAATTCTTGTCCTAGAGGGATTAGGAAAGAATTTCAGTTTTCCTTATTCAATTTCAACAAAAAAATCCAGAACCAAAATATTTGATGAAATTCTATTAAAGAAAAAAAAAACTGAAATTAAAGAGAGGGAGATAGAACAATGCATACCGTAACTTCTGCATATATATATATATATATATATATGCTGGCTCTGTCCCACAACAGCAGTAAGGGCAATGGCAAGCCTTTGTTCAAGCACGAAGAGTCACCTCCCATTACCAATTCAAAAGCCTGTTCAATCCCATCACAGGGGAGAAATACAATCAAAATTAATAAAAGGGAAAGAAATTGAAATATAGTGGAGGTGATGAAAAGATGCAAACCTTGTTTCTATTTCAAGGTCCACGAATAGATGTAATTGCGCCATTTAAAAACACTGTAAAGGCACAGGAAGACGGCTGTTTAAATGATCCTAGATGCATTTGAAACAAAGAGTATACGATCAAAAGTTACTGGCCTAAACAATCAAAAGTTACCTATGCAAAATCTCAAAACAATCAAAATCCCAAAACAACTATCTCTGCATTGTCGTTGTCATCAAAGATTGGAAAATTCTCTCTCATAACCCTACACCACCAAAAACTCAGAATCAGTGCTAAACTCAAAGAATAAAAACTAAAATTAATAGAGAAAATTGAACCTGATTTGAAGCTTACCAATATGTTGTAATCTAGCTATAAATACCTCAGCTCTTATATAGCATTAGTGATTACCCAAGAACCTGAAATCAAATTAACCAAATAAATGAAGCAAAATTTGTAAAAAAATAAAAATACCCAAAGCGAGACAGCGAGACAGAGAATGAGAGAGACACAAAGATGGAAGATGCATGACACCAACGCTCTACATTATAATCAATTTCTTTTCGAACTTGATTTAATCTCTACTTCATAGTTGTTGCCTACCTTCACTTTCACTCTCTCTCTGTCCCAATAAATTTATAAGTTTTTCAGAAAGTGCCAAGAGGTGCAATTTAAAATAGTAAAACATACAAAATTAAGACTAAGAACTTGTTGACTGTAAAGGAAGGGAACATAAATGTAGCCTTAAAGCTCGTAACTTGCCTATATAGATGTGAAATAGATGCAGATACTTGACTGAGCTCATTTCTCTGCTAGGGTGTTAGGACTCTTTCTTGCCATTTTAGGTTAAGTAAATGGCTCTTAGAATTATAGTTGTTCACTCTCTCCCCAAGTCTTTGATTAATATAGGCCATACAAAATTCAAAGAAACATATAAGTTCACCTGCTTCAAAACAAACAACCGTCGATCAGAAAGAGTTGGTGGTATGATATCACCATATACACGTTTTGCCTCCTCAGCATACAACTCAATAAACCCAGCCCCGTAACTCACCTGTAATATGAGTTTGAAATTTGAATCACATGATGAAAGTAAGATGCAAAGCTACAGCTAATTGCTTAAATCCCTTAAACAGAAGTCTGAAATAGGATACCTCACCAATGGCTTCTTTTAGAGGTTTCCCTTGCTCCAAGGTAATGAGTTGTCCAAGCTCTTCTTTGTGGGAAATTAGTAGATCATACCTTGAGAGATGGGAAGGAATATAAATATCAAGAACAAATAAATTTTTTTACAAAACCAGATATAGAATCACAGGACAGCAATTATACCATTTCCTTAGACATTTGATTACTCTAATTCTTTTTCCTTCGATCTTCCTCTGTAAGAACAAACCAAACTCAATTTCTGATTTACTTCTCAATTTTCGACATGACAAATGAATAAACCAACCTAGAAAACCAAATGAACGTTAAAACCAACCTTTTTTTACGAAACCTAGAAATAGCTAAACCCGTGCGATGAGAAGAAGGATGAAGGGCAGCTGGAACGGCAACACTCGAATGCAACAAACAAAAGAAGCAAAGAGATAAAGCCAAGAAGCAGAAATAAAATTTCAGCCTTCTCCAATATTAAATTAAAAAGACTAAATTTAATGAAGGACTTACGGATCAAATCCCCTATACTCAATGTCGCCACCATCATCTTGCACTGCTGGAATTTTCCACAACCCTTTCTTGTGTCGAATTAATAATGATTCTCGATCCCACTCGTAAAAAATTTCTATTTTTAGTCGGATGTGAGTCTCCAACAATTCTTTGATCATTGCAACGATTTCTGAATCATCCTGCAACAGAAACCACCAACATGGTTGTATATTTGAGATTTATGCACAAAAGAATTGATAAAACAAACACTAAAGAATGGTTAAATATATTCTCCAAAGTTCCAGTTCTAATTTCTGATCTTTCAACTTGACCAGCTTTGTCCATCAGAGCCACATACTTGTATACAGCATGCCTCATCACTGAGGTTTCCACAGAATTTTAAAAAGTGTTATCCATTTTGATGACTCAGCCCATATTTCTCTAATTACACCAAAAAGAATCAAAGGTCTTTGACATTCAGTAAGTGCATATGAAGTTATTGTAGTTAAGCTTAATTAGTGGCTCTGTTTTATGTGGGGTTCAAAATAGAAAAATAAGCATAGGAAGCTGGATATTATTTACTTTGGCTTGCTTATGAAGTATACGATTTAGTATGCGGTCCCGGCCATTTTTGGGGTGAGAAAACAAATGGATCAACCAATCATTCTTTAAAAAACAGGTGATATCCAGTGTATGTTGATTCTTTTGTCTCTCTTTTCCTTATCTATCAGTTTCTTGATTACTTCAACCACATAATTACATAGCCTCAAAATACAACCAACCAACCAACTTTAAGCAAAAACTTAAATTTCAGGATTCTAACAGTGTAACTACAAATGAATTCTAACATTACACATCACGAAGCATGAAACTTAAATTGAATCCATACAACCAAAAACTAATATGAAATGCACAGTGAAATCCAAGTACAAAGGAAAACATGATTAGACATTCATGAAACCCAGAACTGAAATCAAAGCGTTACCTAAGAAAGAAAGAAAAAAGGAAGTGCAGGGTTTCTTGCAAGTCATATTCATCATGTTCATGCTTTAAAAAATCATAAACTAAAGTGAAACAATATGCAGATGCCATAAAAATAAATGCAATTTAGGTAAGAGAAAACTGAGATGGAGAGAAAAGGAAATTTGTTAATTTATTTTGCTTTGCTAACAATATCCAGAAGACATACAACTAAATTAATAAAATTTCAGATGGCAGTTCAACTATTTTGAGCTTAAATATTCAAGGAGAATAAGCACGTAAAATAATAATGAAAAAAAAAACTCGAGGAGCATGCCACTGATTTGTGACATGAAAATAAGAAAGAATCAACATCTTCATAAAGACAGTTAAAAATCCAAAATGGTTGAAACTGCAAAACAAAGATATAGTTCTTTTTCTTCAAAAATCCCAACTTCAGTGGTATTTAAAAAAGAATTTATTGCACCCTTAATCTTCGTATCAGAACAATCAATTGACAGGCATGATTAGAAAAAAGGGAAATGCCAAGCCAACAAAAATTGCAGACACAGCCGTAGGATCATGGGAGAACACCTTTCCAAATGTATGTTACTCCTTTTTGGAACCTTGATCTCTTGAAGCTGTTCCAATAACAGTAAAATCCTTAATGATTGCAAAACCTTGTCCCATTTTTTTAAAACCATGAATCTTACTTATTTTATGCAGTTTGAACTTTAATGAACACAAATGGAATGTCTTGTTGTGAACTCCAAATAACTAAGCAATATAACTTGAATGTCTTCATTGAAATAGATTCTTAAAAAAGGGAAATGCCCAGCCAACAAAAATTGAACTTAAAATGCATGTTCTAAGCAGTTAGTAGGAATGGCTCACTACCAGTGAACTCGAGTGGGAAACGCAGTTTAAGTATGGTGTCACGTATGGAGTGCATGCAAGTTGGGAAGCAAACATATATAAAAGAATTGCCAAGAAAACCATCACTATATCAATCAACAAAACGATTCAAAAGGAAGATCAAAAGAGAAACCAAAGAATTTCAATACTGTGCTAAACTCAAAAAATTCCAATTCTCAGCATATGTCTGTTAATTGATAAAATCAAGACCAAAAAATAGGCTAAAAAGGTGAGGAGATACATACCCGATGACAAAGGACGCAAGAACTCGTAGAAAGGTGCCTGAGATGAAGGTTGCAGAAACAATGGAAAATATCACAACGAACAGACACAATTTCATAAACCGAAAGGGCCGCTGGATTCGCATCTCGACTCCCCAAACGAAAATCAATGGCCACCAAGCATCTCCAAGAGGGAACGAAAATCTTCCATCGCTGCCCCCCAACCAGCTAGTTCGAAATCAACGATGAACTCTCTGTGCTGAAGAGAAAATAGAACGTATTTCAATAGTTAAATGAGGGGCATTTCCGTAATTTCACTGTGCTTAGGAACAATGTTTAGTTGGATTGCGCTTTAGTATATATATAATTTGTAAGGGAGTCGGTCGTACGCATGTTGGGATTCTTACCCGGGTCTCGAATTTGGAAAAGCTTTTTGTGTCAAGTACTCTCAGCTCTCTATCCATGAAGACCACAAATTATCCACATCCACATGACAAAACATCCCGTGGAGTAGTGGACGGGTGTGGTAGACAGTAGACTGACTATACAGAATTTGTACGAAGATTAACTAGAGATGTGAAAGGAAAATAAACTAGGACCACAAACACTACAATCAATTGAAATAAAATTGATGGGGCAGAGGAATATCTTGGCGAGATATTATTGTGGAACTTGGTTGTGCGTGGGAATTGAGTTACTTGACAGCGGAATGGCTGTCTTATTTGATATTTTCCATGATTTCAGCGAAATGGAACAAAAGACTTTTAGTTTTAGACTCGTCCAAACAAGCTGCGACCCCCCTCGCATTTGCATGCTTGCTTGCTTCTTCATGTTTGAATGTTTCATGATTTCACGTGCAGGATGCAGCCAGGAAAAAAAGTTAAAGAAAGACAAAAAACAAACATCATGAACCCTCTCACTAGGGGTGGACGTTTGAATTGAAAAATCCTAGTACGAGGATAGGAGCATTTGGCATGAAAATTCTCTTATGTGATGAATATTTCTAGGAGCAGTTACCAGATGATCTTTCTTCACCCTATAGCAAATGTTTAGAGTGGATACAACTCACTCTTGATTAGTTCTTTCCGGGAGATTTTGAATGTAATATTCAACTATCCATGACTAGTTCCTATTTGCATTGTTCTTGTGTAAGGAATGTAACTTAACTCGAGTTTCATCTCAAAGGGTTACAGTGCAATTTAAGGAGAACTCCCCCTTATCCTTTTATGCACAACTTATTCTCCAACATAGGACAATTGTATTTGATTCCCAATTCTTAAAAGTTGCAATTTATTAAAATTTTACAATACTAAATCTTCTAGAATGATCTTGGGACAAACAACTACAATAAACATAACCTGAGTAAACGACTCATTGCCCCTAATTTTTCATTCAATTAATTTGGTTCAGATACAACTGATATGAAACATTTATGTAACATATTTACTATCTCACTGAAATCATAGTCCAGGCCCCTCGATCGTAAGTGCCTATGCTTCTAGCCACATTGCTCATCATCTTCCATTCGGATCGTTAATCTCAGAAAAGATTGTCCCGGATATACGTTGAATAGATTGATCGGTTGCACAAGTCAGCTCACTGCTACTAGCTTTGGCAGCAGTGTCACTGTAAAAGGCAACACCCTTAATTCCAATGCTCTTTTGATGAAGCTGCAAGGCAAGCTCAAGCTCCCTCAAAACATCATTCATCGAAGGCCGGTCAACCCCATTATCCTGGATGCAGCTCACAGCGATCTCACCAAACTTATTCAGGCATTCGGCTACAATCATACCCCTCAAACTTGGGTCGATGATTTGATCAAGTTCCCCATCGCGATGACATCTCCTGGCCCACTCAGGAAGGCTCATTCGAGTCCCCTCCGCCGTATGAATCAAAGCTGGCTTCCCACACAACACCTCGCACAACACGACACCAAAGGAGTACACGTCAGACTTCTCAGTCAGCCGTTGACATCGATAGTATTCCGGGTCCAAATACCCGAAACTACCTTTCACCGCAGTGCTGATGTGGGTTTTGGACATGGTGGTTGTGCCCATTTTGGACAACCCGAAATCCGAAACCTTTGCCACCCATTTCTCATCCAATAAAATATTTGTGCTCTTCACATCGCGGTGAATAACAGAGCCCTTGGCACCGCTGTGAAGGTAGCACAACCCTTGCGCTGCACCAATACAAATTTGAAGCCGTTGTTCCCACGAAAGAGGTGGGTTATCGGAGCGGTAGAGATGGCCACCGAGAGTCCCACGTGCCATGTAATCGTAGACCAAGATCATCTCGCCTTTGTCGGTGCAGAACCCAATGAGTGAAACCAAATGGCGGTGACGGAGTTGAGAGAGCAGCTCGATTTCTGTCTTAAACTCATGAGCCCCTTGTGATGACTCTGGTTTCAGTCGTTTGATTGCAACAAGGGTGGCGCCACCATCAATACAGCCTTTGTACACGTTACCAAATCCTCCTACTCCAATAATTAAAGTTTTATTGAAGTTTTGGGTGGCAGCTTTGATCTCAGTAAGTGAAAAGGAACGACACAAATCAGACGGTAAAGATGACTCGTAGGTCTTTGTTGACTTAGTCGTCCCTTGGGTGGAGCCAGAGGACTTGACTTTCCATCTTTGTCTGAAGACAAGGAATGTGAAGACAGAAAGCACCAGTACGCCGGAAACTATACCGGCGACGATGGCAAGCATACGTGTCCTTCCCTTGTTTTTGGGTATTTTTGAGCTTGACGTCGTACCCTTTGGTGGGTCGGGATCGGCGAGATTACCACTTTGGTAAATCAGTTTGAAGATTTCGAGACCATTCAGCCATGCATTTTCGTTGGAGTACACTAGTTCTAGTGCGATAGAGAGATTAACTTTGCTCTCGGGTCCGGGGCCAGACATAAACACTCTGTAGTCATTATAGAATGGAGTCTCATTTCCAAAGTCAAATGGAAATGTCCCTGGTATGCCACCGTAACTGTATCGTGAAGTGGTTTGATTGGCTATGTAAATATAAAACCACTGATCTATTGTAGCGAATTGAAACTGACAAAAATGAAGCCTAACCAGGTAAGAAAACATGGAATCTACAGGGAATTCCCAGGTGAGATTGACGTAGATCTCGTTCATGGTAACGTTTGTTTCCATCGACCGGGCAGTTTGGTAAACTTGCTTTGGCGCTGTGTACGCTGGTATTTCAGAAAAGTTGAGTTGAATACTCAAGTTTTGTGTCAGAACGGACCTTGTTAAACTTAAATTGTCCAAGTAATTCCGCTCCTCTCTGAAACCATCCCAATTGCGGTACATGCCAGTGTCTTGATTGGAAGAGATTGAGTTTCCACCGACGTTTATTCTGGAGACCATCTCTAGAGCAGTGCTGTTGTCGAGGGAAAAGTACCTTCCGGTGTCTATAATTTCAATCAGACGGCCACTTTTAGGTACACCGTAGTAAAGATGGGCGGGCATGGACACAATTTCAATTCCGTTGATAAACGCATACGCATCTGGGATTGTTATGCTCGGAGTGAATGTGATGTTCAAGCTCTCTTCTTTATCCATGTTCAAACAGAACTCTTTGTATATTCTGTCCAACCTAGACGCATCGGCAGTGACCGAAGCATTGAAGTCGTGAAGAAGGTTAAAGCCCCCGGCTTTGACTGAGAAGAGGGCTTTGGATCGGTCAAAGTCAGGGCCATAAGAAACTGGGTTGAAATACAAGCGGATGAACTTCGGGCCGCTAGTGAGTTCAAAACTGTAAGAAAATTCAGAGCGGGAAAGTCGCACTGTGGTGTAAGGCACTTGTTGGACGGTGTTCGAATGAGGTGCTTGTTTGAATATGGATGTGTTACCAACTGCTTGGCGTTCAAGGGGGGAAAATTTTGAGTTGATATCTCCAATCCAATTTCGGCCATCATCTTCACTGATCTTGTTGCCGGAATAGCCACATTTGACGGTGAAATCTTCCACCGGAGTGTAGATAGGTGGCGAATCTCCAGCCGCCACGAGTAGGATGACGATGGTGGACAGAAACAAGGAAAGGTAATTGCTGATTGAGAAGTTGTTCATGATACTAATTATATATAGCAAGAGAAAGAGAAGGTTGAGGTGTTAGTGTTGATGGAGATAAAATGGGAAAGCCGCTTACAGATACGAATGTAAGTGCTTGGGTTCTTGCCCGGTTTTCAGTACTCTGCACTTGCTACGCATTTCTCTTTGATATATTTTTTGATGTCTGATGATTAGTCTAAAGACGCGCAAGTGGACTTGACGATTGATTTGGTCCCCAACAGAAGGATATTCTACCGAAATTTCGAGAGAAACTTTGCGCTTGGAAAATTTGGAGAGAAATATATATATTTTTTTATCATGTAAACATATGTTGTTCATTTTGACCTTTTGGTAAGGTAGATTAATGTATCTTATGTGCATTATACTTATAATACCAACTTTTTTGATTTGGTCTATATGGGTTATGATTTTTTATTTATTTATAGCCATACATGTTTAAAATTCAAATTCAAATTCAAAATTTAAGAGTGACAATGCTTCAAATAAAAAACTTTTAATTTGTTTCCATTATTTACCTTTAAGAACAAAATAATCATGAAAAATAAGAATAAATGCAAATTGGGCCACGATATTGGGTTTGAATTGAAAAGCCCCTAGTTTTAATGATGCTAATGTACCTATCAGAATTTCCCTATTATATTATCAAAGTAGGTGCACTAATTTATCGTATGAACAAATCGTAATGACAAAATATACGTTAGATTTTTATTTATAATATAAAAATATGTATGATGCACATGTTATGTCATTGTTATTATGAAATAGAGCCATTTATTAGGATTTCGTCATTTATTGAATATTAGTTCATGTTTTTACCGGACTTTAATAAAAATCCCTAACTCGCACTACAAGAAAAATGCCTATTTTGTACACTATTTGCGATGGTAAATGCGGTCCATGCAAATACATGTAATTTTGCGCCGCACCAACATAATTGTGACATCTTAATTAGTAACGTCGCATCTCACGTCGCAAAATAAGTTTGAAAGTATTAACTTTGCAACGTTACTTGATTGCCGTCGTATATCTCCTAATTGAAGTTAGATTTAGGATGGAAGACAGAGCATGAAAACTCAAAATTTTGAGGAGACGCTTTAGTTTCCCGCACAAAATCACAACCCAATATCTTTTGATTACTTTTAGCCCCAAATCAATACAAGTTTCTCATTACTC